TTGCTCTCCTCACAAATCAACTCTTTCTTGTTTTAGTTTCATGCTCTCTGTGCCTTGCCCTGGACTTTGATGTCACTTCCCGTCTCCCGCAGTGTTTGTAGTCAGTTTGTTTCATTGGTTCCCCTTGATTAGTCTCCCCAGGTGTGTCTTATCTTGTTCAGCTTGTTAGCCCCGTGTGTGTATATATAGCCCTAGTGTTTCTTTAGTTCTTTGTGAGTTGTTGAATGTAAAGGTTGTCTGTTTGCCAGTCATTCTGTTCTTTGTTCCCGTTGGTTTTTGCCTTATTGTTTGTTCTAGTTTTTCTGTGAAATACCAGCACATAGATCCTCGTCTCTGCATGTTTTCCGCAGCTTCTCCACAACGTTAGTTTTTCACTGGCATGTCTTTGACTAGTGCATCTTTGAGCCTATATTTAGTATAAGTAAAATACTTAAGTACTGTTAAAGTCAGATACTCCAAGACTTTTACTCAAGTTGTTTTGGAATTGGTGACTTGTAACGTGTAGTGGAGTAATTTTCACTGTAAGATATCTGTACTTTTACTGAAGGATGGTTTTTAGGTTCTCTTTACACCTCTGTCCAGCATGGTGTGGACGTACTGCTGTATGTGTGTTTAAAGGGATAGTTCACCCAAAAATAAAAATTCTGTCACTAACTACTCACCCTCATGTCGTTCAAAACCCGTAAGACTTTCGTTCTTAAGATGTTATTGATGAAATCCAAGAGCTATCTGAGCCTGCTTAGACAGCAAGGGAACTACCACAGTCAAGGCACAGAAACGTAGTAAGGACATCAGTAAAATAGTCATGTGACTTCAGGGGTTCAACCGTAATCTTTTGAAGCTACGAGAATACTTTTTGTTCGCAACGAAAACAAAAATAACTTTATTCTACAATTCTTCTCTTAAACGTAATTGAATACAGAATGAAAATTAATTAAATGAAATTTGCATTGAAATTATTTCATTATATTTAATAAATGAACTTGTTTTTTATGGACAAGAGTGGATGAGCTCTTCGTTTCCCAGAATGCAGCAGTCTGCCATATGACACTCTGTTGGACTGATAACGTTTCTGTGTTGCATTTCTTTCTTCATGTTGTGTGTGTGTGTGTGTGTGTGTGTGTGTGTGTTTGATCAGAAGCGAGAGAAGAGGAGAGGTGTGTGCGCGTGTGAGTGTGTGTGCGTGTGTGAGTGTGCGTGTGTGAGTGCGTGCGTGAGTGTGTGTGTGTGAGTGTGTGCGTGCGTGCATGCTTGTGAGAGTGAGTGTATGTGCGTGCGTGTCTGTGTGTGTGCGTGTGCATGTGAGTCTGCGTGTGCGAGTGTATGTGCGTGCGTGTGTGAGTGTGTGAGTGAGTGTGTGTGTGTGTGTGTGTGTATGTGCGTGCGTGTGTGTGTGAGTGGGTGTGTGTGTGAGTGTGCGTGCGTGCGTGAGTGTGTGTTGTTTTCATCATGGCTTCACTGTTTGTTTCTTGTGTGTTTCTCTGTGTTTAGAGACATCAGGGTCAGTACGCTTTACAGACGGCTCATGTGAAGCCAGTGTCACATGACTCCAGCAGAGATGACTCCTCCCAGCCCCTGTCAATCATCAGCCTGGGGCCGCAGAGCTCCACCCCCCACAGGAAGAGGCGGGGTCAGAAGCAGCGAGACATACCGGTGCAGATTCTGCTGCCGCCTGGATCGGCATCAGCACAGCCAGACCAGACGCCTCCTGCTCCTCCTAACCCTCCTCCTCTTCTTCCTCCACCTCCACCTCCTCCGCCTCTCCCTTCTCCTCCTCCTGCCCCGCCCATCAGTGCGAAGCTGCCCGTCCGAAACACTCTAGAGCAAAACTCAGGTGAGTCTCACAAACTCTATGGGTGCGTCTCAATCAGCTCCCGAGCTCGTGAATCAGTAGATCGTGTACATGAATTCAGTCACTGGTGACATGATTACGTACAGCGTCAATGGACAACATAGTAGAACGTCATCACTGGAATTAATAAACAGCAGGCAGGACCAATCTAATTCTTATATTATTTTTTATTCTCTTTAAACATATCGTTCTGTTACATGTTCTTACAACATTTCAGCCGAATATTAATTATAAATGATAATTAGATGTGTTCATTACCTGTCTAGCGATGTTTATGTTGAAATATACTAAAAACGGTCTGTCGTGTGTCATTATATTTATCGCGTTGACTCGTGTGGTTTATGTTTCACACTTCAGAAATGTGACGTTATTTCCGGTAAGGAAACGTTCCAGTGCACTGGAAGGATTTCGCGATTGAGACAGCCCTTAAAATGGCCGACTCCCTGATCAGTGCCCTGACTACTGAACAAGGGAGCTGATTGAGACGCACCCTATGGTCACGTCTGGTCTAAACCAGATTCTGTGTGTGTAAAAAACGAACAATACTTTATTCTTACAGTAATTATACTGATTACTGATACTGATTCCCCTTTGAATCAGACTAATTTCTTAAATGTTTACATTAATTATTGAACATAAATGATATCCGCCATACATTTATGTTGGTTCTGTTCTGTTTACCCGGTTATTGCTGCTCTCCCTGCTCTTATCCACGCTAGGCTGCATGTTCTTGCCCAGAACAGAACCATACCGCCAATCCAGACTGTATGCTAATTGTCAGTCATCCCAACTTTGACGATAGTGGTCCTGACAGAAATAGTGTTTATGAGGTCGATTGAATTATTTTATTATTCACAGAACTGCATCTCCAGGGGCCGCATTCACAAAATATAAAATAAAGTTCTTGAATGCTGTTTTCTTCTTGTGTTTCATCTTAAGGAAAGAGTTATGAATAGTTTATGTATTCTCAAAAATACTTATTCTAGTCTAGTTTCTTGTACTTAAGAATTCAAGTTTTTTGTAAAATCTTCTTAAAGTTAAGAGAAGCTCAGACTCATCCTAAATCCTCAAAGCTGAGCCAGTCATTAAACGAAGACGTCTCGTGCGTCACATTCAGGAGCGGCTCGAGGAGCTTAGAGAGGGTTCATAGCGGGACAAATATTAAGAGCAGCGTAAACTTCTGTTCGTTCAATTTGCTAGATGAGAGAGTCAGGTTACATCCGAGCGTGTCGTTTCAGTCATGTTTCAGTCTGTGAGTTTCACCCGTTTGAGTGAATGTCATGTTTGTGATGCAGGATCGATGGACGAGCTGTTAGCGTCGCTGCAGCGTGGACAGACACAGCTGCGGAAGGTCACGGTCAGCGCAGAGAGCGGCGAGGTCAGGAACAGCCTGCTGTCAGCCATCCGTCAGGGAGTCACCCTGAAGAAAGTCCCGCCCTCCAGCGGCCCCACACACAGCTCCGACTCAGAGCTCGAGCGGAGCATCAAAGCCGCCATGATGAGGATGAAGAAGGTGTCTAACGACTCTGATGATGAAGAGCCGTCAGACGCGCCGTCTGGAGACTGGGAGAGTTAAACACGACCGTCTGTGAGTCACAAACACTGCTGCTGGACAACGCCGTTTCAGCCGCCATTTCTGATTGCCATGGCTAACTTCCTTTGCCAAACTTTGGGTTTTTGCACTGATATGTCTTGTCGTAGGAATATATAAGTAATTTTCCATGAAAATATAGCCAGTTGCACTAACCATTAGAAATGTGTGAAAAACATCTGTGATCTGTGAACGCTTTCATTAAAGTGCCTGATCAAGATTGTAGCATCTGTATCTGTCTGTCTGTGTTTGAGGGAAAGTCTATGACTTATGCAGAATGCTTTTCTTTTCTTGGAACTCTTGATAGTATCAAAGCCTGGACCAGTGATTCTCAAAATGTGCTAAACAAAACCTGAATATGGAAATACACACCAACATATACAATTCATTCAAAACCATATTTCAATTGTTATATTGTATATTTTATTTCAAAATAAAGGTATCAGGTGTCATGTCATTCACAAATGCAGTATGGAGTACCTCAAAGCTCAGTACTAGGACCGTTGCTTTTCACGCTTTACAAGTTGCCCTTGTGGAGATATCATCAGGAAACACGGTGTTAGCTTTCACTGTTATGCTGATGACACTCAGCTCTAGATTTCTTTGTGGCCTGACAAAACATTCCAATTTGCAAAGTTAACGGAATGCATCGACGATATAAACTAGATGACTAGTAATTTCCTACTGCTAAGTTCTGAAAAAACAGGTGTAAATTATCAGCCCAAAAACCTCTGCATGTAATAACTGAAAACACTAATGATGCACTAATGTTTGACTTCGCCAGTCGGAGATCACTAAAAATAACATTAAAGAGGTGTGTGAACTTGCAAGTACGATGTCAGACACTGTAATATGCTCTGGTCCCCTCCCTGCTTACCGTGGTGACGAGATACACAGCAGACTGTCGTCACTCAATGGCTGGAAGTCTAAGTGGTGCCCGCAGAATAACATAGGTTTCATAGACAGTTGGATGAGTTTTTGGGGCAGACCTGACCTGTTGAGAAGAGATGGTCTTCATCCCTCCTGGGGAGGTGCCGCTCTTCTCTAGAAATATGGCACATAGAGTTTGTACTTGACTAACTGGGGCCCAGGTCAGGAAGCAGACAGACTGGCTAAACCGACCGTCTGCTAGCCGCCTCACGTCACGTCACAGAAATCAGTTAATTCTCAGCACATAGAGACTCTTTCACCTAGATATCACACTATAGAGATTGTGTCTGTTCCCCGAACTAGAAAATACAAAAAACATCCAAGGGTTATTCCTGGGATTCGGTAACATTTCAACTTGGAATATACATGTTTTTTAACTACATGTGATTCAACTTCTAAATACCCCGCATCATTAGGCACATATCAAACCTCCAAAAAAAATACACAAATTGTGTGTCTACGGTCTCTTTATTTTTGTAAAAAATATTTTTAATTAAAAATTTTAACTAAAACCACAATTTTATTGTTTTAGCCCTTAACATGTCAGATGTTAATCAGCAAGAAATACCTTTGTTCTTGTTTGTCAAGCACTTCAAACCGAGAGGATACAATTAACAAACTAAACTTCTCCAAACGTAGAATATTTTTTAACTACTGTTCAAATTTTGGGGAAGGTAAGACGTTTTAATGTTTCTGAAAGAAGTCTCGGTAACACGTTCTATGAAGCCCATATTTATAACACATTATAAGGGTATTCTTAAGGCATTATAATGAATGCATAATGCATTATAAAAACCCTTATAATATGTTATATCATCTTATGAATATTCATAAGAACAGTTTTAATGTTTTATAATATTTACTTATTTGTGGTTATAGCTTTTAAGAGTATGATGATTTATAAGAGTGCACTCGTTGTATACACAAGTTACAATGGATTATATTTCTCATAGTTATAATGTATTATAAGTCTCATATCTTGCCATCTTTCTTATGCTACTTTACTTAAAGCCATCAAAGACCACTTATAGTAATAATAATAATAATAATAATAATAATAATTTTTTTTCTCAAACAGCCTATAGTTATAATAATAATAATAATTTTTTTTTCTCAAACAGCCATAAGATCAGATATCAGATCAGATGAATGTGTAATAAGACATATTTGCTTTGAACTATTTTTAATGTAATATCAGTTACTTTATTTTGATGGTTCCCCAACAGACAGACTGACTATAACTAACTTTGCAAGTACGTCAACATTCTACCAGCCCTAACCTTAACCTACGCCTACTAATACTCTAATGAGAGGTAGCTGACATGTAGTTGCAAAGTTGCTTATAGTCAATAGACTAAGGGGACCATGAAAATAAAATGTAACCTAACATATAAACATTGCATTTTTTTTTCAGTTGAAATTATTAACTAGCTCACATCAAAATTAATATTAGCCTCACAGGGGACACTCAAATAACACTCCACACCTAACCACTCACAAGATGTAGTAAGATACTGTGCAGATCTTAAATAAACAATGTCAAGATATATAGTCCATTATAAATGTAAAAATAGATTTTATATGGTGTTCATTGTGTGTTATAAATAATCATAATCTTAAAACTTATAACCACAAATGCGTAAGCATTATAATGTATTATAATTGTTGTTATGATTATTTATAAGATGATATAACATATTATAAGGTATTTTATAATGCATTATGCATTCATTATAATGCCTTAAGAATACCCTTATAATGTGTTATAAATATGGGCTTCATAGAAAGTGTTACCGAAGTCTCTTCTGCTCACCAAGGCTGCATTTATCTGATAAAAAATACAGTAAAACCAGTAATATTGTGGTAAAATTATTCCAATAATTACTACGGATCGGCACGGGGGCTTTGACCTGCTCCGTCTCCAACCTGGGCCGGTGCACCCCTCCTTAGACGACCTGGTGGTCCCGAGCTCCCCCAGGAGCACCATATCGATACCGAACTTAGTGCGGACACCCGATCGGCATAGTTCACTGCAGCCCAGAACCCCTGAGCTCAAGCGGTCCGCCAGCCTCAGCCTCCCGGCCAGCTTGGATTACAGGCGCACGCTACTGCGCCCGGCAGATGAAGGTGCAATACAAATCCTGAGCATCACAGAATCCAGTGTTTCTATGGAAACAGGCTGCAGAAATCTACTAACAAAGATAAAACAACTATATGAACAAATGTATTCACATCTGGATCGCAGTATACTCACACAATCAATAGCAGCCGTGTGTGGTATGCAGGTTGCCAAGGCAACACATCCTCTCACCAATCAGAGGGCGAGAGAGAGACGCCCACCGCCTGTAAGAGCCTCAAACATCGCTAATAACTACAGAAACACAGAGATCTCCTTCAGAAGCTAGATTTCCACAAGTATTTATTTTACAATTTTGATCAACAAAAGTTTTTTTTTCCAGAAAGAGGGAAAAAAGGCTCAAGTTTCCAGTAAGGTGTGTGTGTGTGTGTTTTAGAGGGTGTTAAAGACACTTGCCCACATTAAACACTCTATAATACACCAGCCACGACATTCAAACAGCATCAAGAGAAAAACAACAACAACTGAAGGGAACTGAGGAGAGTTTGGAAGCTCAAGCGCTCCGATCACAGACTCAGGAAAGGCAGAGATTATTCTAAAAAAAGCACATGTGTAAATTATCCCATCACCCGAATGTTACACACACACACACACACACACACACACACACAGAGTGGAGGAGCACGTCACAAACACTGCTGAGCACGACACACACATCTGCACC